GTCGAAATGTTTGCACACATTTTACACACAGGCATCACTCTCTTCCTTCTCCTCTTAGAGAAAAGAGGTCAAGAAATTAAAACAAAATTTTAAAAAAATGTCAATGGCGTGTTATGGTGGTTTGAGACAAAACAATGGCTGCAAGCATACTGTACTTCTTCAGCTACATACTTAAAAAAAGAAAAGAAAAAAGCATCTGTGAGAAACCTCTAAAATGTCTCCTCTTTCTAAAAGGATTTAGGCTTTAAAAACTGCCCTCTGCTTCCAGCTGAAAGAAGGCGAGAAAGAGGAGAAATGGAGGAGGGGGGTCTACAGTTACAGTCATGGTTCCTCTGCACCTTGTATGTTGTTGGAACTCAGGCTGTCAGGATAAGCTCATGGGATGGGATGAGAGATCAAACGCAGTCATGCAGATAAAACACTTGAGTGGTCTCCAGTGGGAAGGAAGGAGATCAGTTTAGAGCATTATAATCATATGACAATTCCTTTCAAGTCTTCACACAGCAGGAGTGGCTGGTGGGGGATTCTGTTGAAATTTCATAGATTCCTAATGTATGAATCTGTTGTGTCTCTCATTTCTATTCAAATGTTCTCCAGCTTCCTTTCTCTCTCTCTCTCTCATCTTCTGCTTATTTGTAATCCACCAGCCTGCAGCCAGAACTCCCTCTGTTCTCCGCTTTGACCTCCTTTTGCTTCCACTTCACTTCTTCCATCTCTTTTAATGCAATTAACACTTCATTTCTACGTACGACTTCAGAATCCCCCGTTTTGGGATTCAATTAGCATAAAAATTGTTTAATCCAGAAAAAAAAAAAAAGTGGAATTAGACAGCTGAAAATGAGTCACCATGGACACCATTTAAAAAAATTAATTCTGAGTTCTTTGCTTTTATGAAAATAGCACATCTTGTCTTTACCAGTTCAACATCTTAAATGCACAATGTTTTCTGTTTCTTTCTAAAAAATAAAAAAATGATAATCAACCTTGTTTCTAACGAGCGGGTTTTTGCAAAGCTCCTCCAGTATCTGAGGTTATACTCAGCAGGTCTGACAACTGCTTTAGCGCATAACCAGATGTTGCGAAGCGATGTTATTTTGGAAGCATCGGTGTCACATAAGACCTAACCAATTAACCGCTGCTCGACTGGGCCAGGACGAGCACAAAGCCAAAGCAGCAACAGCAACACTCTGATCTCACTGCCTCCAGCCTTGTAGGTCAGAATAATGCCATGGAAACAAACCAATAGGCAGTGACAAACGTGGGGCCTCAGATCTCTTGGCCAATCCCAAACCGGCTGCCAACACTCCACAGCTGGCTGGCCCAGAATCTGCAAACGGTTTCATTGGTTGGGCCCCCGCTCAAAGGCCCCATAGCCATTCTAAGTGCATTGTCAAGGGCCCAAAGGTTCGGGTGTCAAAACACGGAAACAGCTGGCGGCGGAAACACTACGGGAGCAACAATACACAAAAGTAACCTTGATGGTGGACGCATCCTGTCCAGGCAGGAAGAACCCTCTGACCTCGTTATAGGTTCTGCCCTTTGCTCAAGTGTTAACATGGAAATGGAGGTGATGTGACGGAAGGAAAAAGGAGGAGGAGAAGGAGGGGGAGGAGGAGGAGGAGCATGGACAGATGGCAGAAAAGGAAGAGGCAAATGGAGACTCAGAGGAGGAAAGAAATGTAGGGCAAAGGAAGAAGGCAGTAAAAGACCAGGAAGAAAAATAAGGTGAAAGGATCACAAGGACACAAGTCCAGCCAGCACATGGAAGTCTTGTGGCAGAATTCAAGTGGTTTGAGAGGTGAAACAGGACAATAACTAATAAATAATGATTGATCAAACTGTTTTAAGACTGCAGTGAACAGAGGACACCGTGGTCGTGTGTGTACAACATGTGTGAGCAGCAGCTTTCATTAGTTGCATGTTTTTGTGACCACTGTGTATTTGTGACACAAAGGACGATTTCATGGTACCATCCTGGTACTGTGTCGAGCAGCATGACTGAACTGTGAAGCACGTACATGTGCCGCTGCTTATTTGGTGGGAAGGTCTGAGGACAAAGACGGGACAGAAGGCCGTGTTTTCAAATTCTGCCACTTTCTATCAGATTTCTGCCTGTTGCAGCTTAAAAATGCACAAGAAATTAAAGATGTGATGACGTCAAGAGTGGACAAACAAGGACAAGAGGAGCTGTGGTGTCTCACCAGCAGGAAGGTCCTGATGTTGGCGATCTTGTTTAGCTCCATGAGAAGCCGCAGAGCCTTCTCGTGATTGCTGCAGTACTCGCCGTATACTGAGAAACTGTCTCTCTGCAAAAAAAACAAACAAACAGAAGAAAAATACAGGTCAGAAATGCATGTCAGGGACACAGTTTACCAGCGAGTTTGCAGCTGAGATGAATCAGCTGACAGGACAAAGGTTGACAATGTGGAGCAGAAACTTCAGTTTTAACAGTCTGATGAAATTCAGTTGAGCGATTAAACTGAAAGCGATAAACAACCTGCCAGCCGTGGCTCTGTTCATATCATAATGGTAGAGAGATTTAAACGAGCAGAGCATTCGTGGCTTTTTCCACTGTCAGAGTCAGGCTCTTAAACTCTGCGAGCATGTTACCAGACCACAGCCCGGAGAGCAGCGAGCTCCACTTGTACATGCTGGTCTGTGGTCGGGACATCAGAGAACCACACTCACACTGAAGTGACAGAAAGTAGCTTATGTGTCTGCAGCGATAATGCAATTAGGTAGCCTGATAAAGAGTGACGGACTCGTAAATAAGAGACACGCTTCCTTTATGGGCTGATAAAACGTGTCATCCACAGATGGTCCGATTAGAACAAAACGCAGTTGTTTACTTTGGCAGGTTAGATCCGCCTTTGAATTTGTCTTACAGAAGTTTAAATCGCAAAACATATCCATCGTGTTGCCTCATATGATGCTGACAGAGTGGTAGTTTTTGGTTAACAACATCTTTTCTGGAGCAGATGCAGCCGACTATGGCTGCACGTCTACAGCCAAAATGGTAATCGTGGTTATTAAAAAAAAAATACTGAGATCATGATTAGCCTATTAGCCACAATTATTCATTAATTTTAGAAAGATAATGTGCTTTCCTCCTATGTTGTGTTATATTCCTACTAATGTACTAATCTGCATCCAAATAAGACTTAAAATACTCTTTTTCTTTGGCCTTTATTTGAGAGTGCAGTTGAGAGAGAGACAGGAAAGTGGGGGAGAAGAATGGGGGAAGGACCTGCAGGAAAGGGCCATGAGGGGGATTCAAACTCATGACCTCCACATCAGTACTAGAGCCCCTGTACATGGGACGCCAGCTCAACCAGGTGAGCTATAGTGGTGTAAAACTCCTTTACCAGAATTCTCCCAGAGCCAAATAAAACTGTCCCAAGACTTCCTGTCTTCCCTAAACGCCTCACATGCAGATTAAAATAGAAGCTAAATGGGCACTGAGAAGTTGTACATCTGTAATATATCATGCAGCCCTGGAGTTTCATGCAATATTTATGTGGGAACTTTCTGATCACACTTGACAGATACAGACAGGGAATACTGTTTAGGAGTTTATACTTTTATACCCCTTCAACTCACGCACCTGCTTCACTGATTCCAATTAAATGCCAATTTTTACAAAGTTAAACATGTTTTGTCCACTGAAGTGAGAGTGTAACTACAACTACTGAAGAACTCTCATAAAACTTTTCCACTTCCAATGTACTAGCGTTCATCGAGATCTTTGGTCACACTTCTCTTTTTCAGCGTAGCATACGTCACAGTGGAAATGTATAAACAGAATACCGAGGCACAACACTTCCTCTTCTTCTTGGGTGTCAGCATCACACTGTGCAACAAGACAGCCTCTGATGCAGAAGCTTTTGTCAAGCTGCCATTTAGTTTTATTCACAATGTGTAACACAACACCTGGGTCAGTGAATATACAGCGTAGCTGGAAATACATTATTCATGCAGCATATTGTAGTGAACAATGTACACACAGCATCACGGCCGCAGTTAAATTTACACCCTATAGTTTATCGAATCCTATTGTGTATTCTCAGTAACTGGGATGTAAAACCAAGTGCACGGTGGGGCCTAATCATGAAACTGAAACTGTCATCTGAAACAGTCGAGTAAGTGAAATCCAAAACTGCAGGTGCTTGGACGCCACTTTGAACTTTAAATGATAAGCTGCAGCCGTAAAGCTGAGCGTTTGAAGCTGGTTTGGTCATACTGAAGGAATACAAAGGAAACGGTATAGAGTAAAAGAGCTTAGCAGCGTCTTTGAATATCATTCTCGGTTCCAGAAGTTGACAGAACCTTTCAAACAACTGCCAAACCAGCCTCTTGTACGGGTAAGGATGTATGCAAGTGGTTCTCCTCCCACACACACAAACTGAACTTCACTGTTCCTGCTTAGCGTATGTTTTACCTGCAGCACGACAAAGCTAACAGCTCCTTCTATACAACTTTGTCTCTACTCGACCACATTCCCTTGACCGGAAGGACTGAAACATCTTCAGTAGATGTGTAACAGAGTTGTGTTTGGCAGGGGGATTGCTGTTGGATGGTGTGACAGCCCAGATACAGTCAAAATGACTTCAGACAATGTACAACCAGGGAAGCACTTTGGTTTATTTGCTCATATCAACGTGACAGCCTGACAGCAGCAACAGATTCCTGATACATGAATCAAAACTGGTGTCTTCCTATCCAGCCAACACTATTAATCAGATCTACTAAACAGGCTCTGGTGTCTTTTCATAACAGACGGTACAGCTGTAGCTCCATCGTTCATCTCACAGAAGCCAATCAGTCTGCAAAGTCGTACCGAAGCCACCAACATAAAATGCAGGGATGTGTGACAATAACAACGACTGCTCGTGGTTCCAGTCCGTTCACAGCATCGTGCCAAATGCTCCAAATACCAAACTTGTGCACAACTTGCAATAGGTAGCATCTCTATTTTGTTGGAGAGGAGGGGGGAATGCATGAAAACAGTTTGAAAGTATGGAAAAAAAAAACACCAGACTGGTCCTTTAAAGTCCTACTCCAAGCAGACAGCAGCCTAAATCATACTCTCCAACAGGCTGCTACTCATTAAGCTAGTAAACGTGTTATGCCTGTCTGCTTTACCTAATTATTTAGTGAAGAAAGAACCGCCAGCTACAGCTGCACTGAGCAAAGTCTGTGGAAAGCGGCAGTAAACAGAATGACGTGTGTCCCCGCATCAGCATCCTAAATAGTATCGCAGGACCTACTATTTTGAGGTTGTTTGCACCTAAAGTAAACTGTTCCAGGTGATTGTAAAAAGACTATACAAGGAAAAAAAACACACACATGGACCGAGTCAGGCTGGAGTTTTTAGGGACACGTTTGCATTTACAGTTCAATAGCTGAACCTGAAACAACCGTTTAAGCTCTCAATCTGCAATTCAAGCCTTCCGCTCACAAAACAGCGCGCCTATTTATAGATATGTTTACAGCCGCAGCCTACGCCAAGGTAGGTTCTTTTTACTCAATTCAGGCACACCTAAAGCGGCCCATAAGTCCAACCAGTGTCACTTTCAAACATCACAACAGAGTGAAAGACACCAGTTATAACCCAGAAGAACTCAGCGACTGGGGGCTGTTCCTTTGATAAACACGAGTCTGTGTTTGAATTCTTAGTCAGTGGAATGTTGTTTAGGAGGCGAGATGAGAGGTTGGTATCACACACACACACACACACACACACACACACACACACACAGAGCGAGGAATCACGTCAAGTCAAAGCAGAATGGGTGTAGTTCAGAGAGCGCATAATGACACGACTGTTGCTTCGCTGCTCAAACACACGTTCCCTGAAATAGAGCAAATATTGATGTCTCTAATTTCGCTTCTAAAGTGAGTCACCTTTTCACCTCGGCCGGGTTTGAATGATTCTAAGCATCTCTAAACAAGGGATTCTCCATCTGTGTGTGTGTGTGTGAGCCTCTGATCAATGAATTTATTCAGAACTTCCTCCCCTGGTTGGTGACATTAAGATTATATGATTTAAAAAAGAAAAAAAAAACTGCACCTATAGTGATTTAAACAGACAAAGGGACGACGTTGGACAACAGGTTCTCTACTTAGACTTGTTCTTTTTTTACATCTGCAGCCTCCCAAACCATCTTGGCCACATTTGACTTTGAATATCAATGAATCGTCCCATTTTTCTGGCCTAACCGTGAGTGGCAGACAGTGTTGTGGAACAATACGGGAGGTTAATCAAATCCCAGTCATGCTGTTGACCTCCGGTGGAAGGTCAAGGGCTGGAGGGCGCCAGATGGGGCCGACTGATTGGCTGAAAGGTGTCGGCGCTGAAGGAGACAAAAGGTCACGGGTTGGTTAGGAGGGAAGTGTTATAGAGACGAAGGAGGTGTGTGAGAAGCTCAGCACGTCAATAAAAACACACAAGATTAAAGAAGATGGAATACGTATGATAATATGGTTGATTGATTATTCTTTAAATGAGCCTGGCATTAGTTTTGATTAGAAGAAGAAGACCTAAGCAGCAATCTAACCTGAACTCCAGCGTGCAAACAACCAATCTGACATTTATTATGTCAAATATTTTCAGACTGGTGGATGGACATTGTTTGAAACTCACTTTGAGCTGAAGGAAGTTTGGATTATTTTTCTGTATTTTTTGACATTTCTTCACTAACTAACCACTTACTTCCATTATTTCAAAAACAACCGCATTGCACTGAACATTGTAAGATGAGGAGATGTGTTGTGAATGGGCGCTTGATGACTAAAACTAAAATAGAATTTTATTTCTCTTGTCGCATGTTTTTGCAATGGAAAATCCTGCACCTCTCTGGAAACAGCACAACCACAGCTAGAAGGAGAACTTCAAAGTGTCTTTGGTCAGGTATGAGACAATTATAACGCTGGTCTACACCGATTTTGGTGTCAAAGTTGTTTGAGCTGATTTTGGACAATTGCAATGTGCTGAATCCAAGTATTACATTAGTTTTGCTCAATGAGGTAAAAATTTTGATTTGATGAAACATGCAATTTACTTATATTTACCTTTACAGATGTCAACTTTTGGATCATTTATCTTATGAAAAGGATTAGAAAATTAAAATTTTCCTCTAAAATCCGGTTCCATATGAGAAATACTAAAAGAAATCAATCGCTAATGTCAAAAAATGTAATCGATTTAGTGGTAAAATCGATTTTTTAAAATCGAGTTGGCATAAAAACCTGATTTTTTTTATATCAAGTTGGCATAAAAACCTGATACAGAAAAGCAGATGTCATGTTTGGATTCAGCGGTGCAAAAAAATCAGTTAAAAAATCCTAGAGACCTTCAAAAAAATATATTTTTTGTAACCCAGTGTAATGAATCATTAACAAGAACATTTTTAAAAAGCTGAATTTCAAATTATGTATTAACATTTGTTATTTTGCAAACGTTACCAAAAAGAACTAGAACCAACATCCACAGCATGTTGCCCCAGATGTTACTGATGCCAGGTTACAGGGATGTTAGTCTATTTTTACAGAACCTGGTATATTTTGTTCAATTTTAAATGAGACATATCAAACAAAAGGTTATTAATGAAAAATCACAGCTTAAACATCAGTCAGGCGGTTAAAGATTTGATGATTCTCTCTGTTCAGTCACAGCTTCTGGTTCTAATCAATGGTGAACTTTTTCTTTTTAAAGAAAACATGCCTTTCAAAGCTGCTGCTGGGTTTTGGGGTTAAAATGAAGTTATGTCTTCATAACTTAGTAGTATATGTCTTTAAAAATAAAATAATGACAATAACTGAGCACTGTAGTGAAATCCTATTTTAGAGGTGGTGTGTGTGATTCTAATTCAATCCAGCTTTTTGTTAAATTCAGCTCTTTACAGTCAGCTCGCTGTCTGTTCTGTGTCTCTGTAAATGGGAAACAAACACAGCAGGATGGACCAGTCCTCTATTTAAAAGAGTTCTGTGAACATTCGTGCTCATGCACAGAACAGGGGAAGTAGTAGGGACGCTAAATCTGGCACTTCATCATCGTAGCACCAACAAACATGTCGAGCTCCGTTAATGAATCCCCTCCCAGACACTCGGCCTGAACGACACGTGTGTGCAGCTATATGTTGATGAGCCGATTCAGCCGCTTCTTGCCAAGGTGATTGCATGTCATTCACGCCGAGCAGCCGGCACTGATTGTGTAACGGCTTCAGGAGGTGATGCGGTTATAAAGCTCAGCTATAAGGACAGTTCTCAGAGGCAGAAACGGTGTCAAGCAGAGGACAACATTTTCAGTGAGGCAAAAAGGGATATTTATTTCCTGCCTCTAAGAAAGTGAAATTCCATCCTGCTTCTGGCTGCAGACGGACGGTGGAGCACCGAGCTGATGTATTTTTAATGCATTTTTGGCTTAGTGAAAGTGAACTGGAGATAGTTTATTAGACGGAGACAAACAGAAAGAGAGAGAGAAGGAGTTTGAGATTGAGTGCTACCAGCAGAAGCTTTGTCCCCTCTCTGAGTGACACACCATCTCCAGCTCCCCGGACACAGAGCCTTCTTTGTTTGTCGCCTGGGGCCAAATGAGTTCAAACAGAGGGGAGAGCGAGCGGGTGGGAGGGTGTTAGAGCTGCAGAATGGAGAGGGATAGATAGATAGATAGATAGATAGATAGATAGATAGATGGATAGAT